ACGCCGAGAGAGGGGATCGGGACCCGCACTCACGCCGAGAAAGGGGATCGGGACCCGCACTCACGCCGAGAAAGGGGATCGGGACCCGCACTCACACCGAGAGAGGGGATCGGGAGAAGCACACGCCCCAAACTACATAGGATGGAACTGAAACACTCGGGGCAAAGCAGGGCGACAAAACACTGAGTAACTGGAAATCAGCCTACAGTTCCTCGCAAGGGGGAAACCAGCTCCACTGGTTAGATAGCCAGAGCAATCAGAGAGCGGAATACAGTGCGGCTGTCAGGACTCGGGCAAGGGCAGGAGGCTGCAGAGAGCAGACAGCACCCATCCTCACAGTGACACTGCAGCTGATATCAGGGGGCACCTGGCACTTACATATCTATAGATGTCATTCTGGGAAGCTCCACACCTCCAGCTGCATGTCCCCTGATCTGTCCCCCATCCATCTCCCAATCTTTCTTCTAAACCCTTTCCTGAACTTTCTTAGATTTTCCTCTGCTTGCTTTTCCGGATTTCTGGCCCATCCCTCAGAGCCGTGACCGCCTGGGCTCGCTAACAGAGCGCAGTTGGGGGGGGGGGGGCAAGCTGATGCCTGCTTAGATAGCATCGAGCTGCTGATAGAGAGCTGCACAGTGCCGAATTTGCTACGTGCAGCGTTATTAATATAGTGTGGCTCCTTGAGTATGTAATGTGCCATATTTGTATTTTTTAAATCGAGTGTTTATGACCTGAACTAAAAAAAGCTGGACACACTAGACAGTAAAAAAAACGTACGGTTAGAAGCACTGACTCATGATAAGCCACAAAACCCAGTTCCACGCTGCCATGAATAGGAGCACAGCTGAGCGGCGATGCTGTTTTATTATTTATTGTTTATTATTTTATTATTCATGCTGAGGAGAAACAGAAGTGTGGGGTATGGCGTAAATAACACAGCCAAGGCCTCGACGTTCCACAACGTTCCATGGGAAGGCTGCAGGTTCCGCCTCACGGACATCAGGAAGATTCTGTAAAAAATCTGATAAAATTATTCAGTTCCTTCGGATAAGGAATAAGCAAATGTACCAAGTACACAGTACAGCTGGTTTTGAGAACCCTATTGTCATAATTGGGGAGGGTCATAGCTGTCCCTGGTCACAGTGTGTGTTTCTTTCGTAAGACACCAGCGCAGTGACGGGGTTCTCTAAGTCCTAGATAAGGTCAGCGGCTCACTTCCTGCACCTCTCTGAGGAACGGTAGGAGCCAGACATTCCCCAGCACCTCCCTCTGGTTCTGAGAGATCCGTTAACCTGCGGATCCAGCACCGGTCCAGTTGCTGAGAGTTAATATGCCACGCTGTAAAGAGGCGAAACATATGGGCCGTCAGTAGATAGTCATACGGTTGCCGGGGGCCTGACTGTGCGTGACAAGCCACTTCCTGTCTGCCACTTGTCAGTCAGCAGGAAACCACATCCTCCTGTGTTCAGGCAAGAAGCACAGAGCGGAGGGGCCATCTAGCCAGAGGCATGCAGAGCGACGTAAACTCACCCCAGTCTCTCGCATGTACCTCAGTGTTCATGCTACAAAGCTGGGTTGATGAGCTAGCATGTCATTGCCGAAAGGCGGGTACAACTAGGGTTGAACATAGAACATGTCCGGCGGAGTCCAGCTTCGCCTCCTTATGTCCAAATCACACCGATTTTGATGCATTTTTAAGTTTCATTTATGTTATTTTTCAAAAAAATGCAAATACGAATTAGTCATGCAATATGTACAATATCCTTATCAAATTATAAAATGAAGTTTTGATCAGATTTTTTAGCGTGTTTTGTATTCCTTTCTATTACTCTGTACCTGATTGGGCTTCCCCTCCTCTCTGGTTCTGATATAACCCCTGGGTACAACTACAGCTACAGTTCTTTGCTGAAGATGAAAGACATTTCCATAGTGCTGAATGCAGTGTCCCTCTTCACAGTGACTTTTGCGGAGCGCCAGCCATGCTCTGTATTCTGTAGGATGTGAGCTTTTCATAGACGCGCCATTTGACTTGCAGATGAGTCAAGTAACTCAATGCCAAATGTGTCCCCACAGCCTCGGACCTCAGCAGCCCCTGATTTCTCGGCTGTAAGTCAGATCTACATGCTGGGGGGGGGGGGGGGGTCAGGGTATCAGAGGGCTCTATTTATGGCAATCATTAATGCATCATGGCATGTCCCTTGTCATACCTTTGGTTTGCATTGCTGCTTCTGTTGGGGACCGGCACTGAGAAAGACACCATCCACCTTAATGAGGGGAGCAGGGTTAATCGGGGCAGTTTAGTCACATGGTATTGAGAGCATCTTGGGGGGGGGAAGCAGGACAGAGGGATGTCAGAGAGGATAGTAGTCTTCAGAAAAAGCCAGTAGTGTGTGTGAATCCTTGGTTCGTGCATTGGCGGGGGTGTTCCCAGCCAGCCACAGCCAGACTGGTGCTCTCTATATGGGGGTGTACATCACAGGATGTCTATAACGCAGGATGTCTATAACGCAGGATGTCTATAACGTAAGCCACAGAAACAGCCAGGGATTACACCCGTGTTATTCTGGCTCAAATCAATAAATGTTCCACGCTTGATAATCTCAAAATTGAATCATTTTGTGACATTTTGTTTGCCCCTGGGCCCATATGAAAAATCCAAAATTTCTCTGGCCTAGATAGTTTAGGAGTTAAACTGGCTTGAAATTCTGTGAGATTTTTCCGTCGTTGGCAAAAACGCTTGCTTGGCTATTTTCAGATATCTTTGCAATTGTAACACATAGACACCTGGATAAAATGTGGATATATAAGTCTTAGGCCTGATGCCAAATATGTTTTTATTTAACATGTACCTTTTTGGCATTACTGAATACACTACAACTGCACTTGGTATCTTTCTCTAATTTCTCAAGAGGTATGAACAACAGACCACCAGACATCATGAATTTCCGTACCGGTGGTCCTGCTACAGGCCCAGAATCTCAGGGGTAGCAAAATTATTGTAACATTCATTGTGTCACTTGAAAGTTCTTGGTTCCTTTTGCATCAAAAAAAGCAGAATGGTGTGTTTTGTTTTAAGGGTTTTATTGAGCTTCAAATTGTCAAGTTTTTAGTGCTGGAAATTTCATTGATCCTGCAGTGTATCCCGCAACAATCCGGAACTTGCTTCGTTTTAGATAATGTGCGATTTTGCTTAATAAATTTGTGCCTGAGAAAAACACATGTACCTCTGACTCAAAAGAAATACAAGCTTAGCTCAAATTAGAAAAAATATCAATTTTGGTATTGCTATAATAGTAACAACATACTTCAGATATCTTACTTATTTAATTGTAATTTAGCAAATTCTTTATTGCTTCCCCTTTCTTTGTTGGCTGATTTGTTTCTATTTCCTGTTTCTTTGTGTTCTAACTGTAACTGTTATAACTGAAAAATAATTGTTGAATTGAGCAATTCCGCCTCCAGTATACAACAGAAGTGTGTGAATTATACAAAGGTAACATACAGTGCCCCGTATGATTATTAAGCTTCCTTTGTTTAAATTAAATATTTCCGTAAATGACATGAATCATTCATTCAATTCACATTTTATATTTTAAACAACATTTATTTCATATTTTTGATGATACATACTAATAGTTTTCATCAATACATTGCCACAAAATAATATAAACATATTTACTTTATATATTTATTTGTTACATACTCAGAATTAAATAAGTATGATGGTTGAATGTGGACCATTTGTTGAGATACCAAATATTTGCTGAGTTGAGCCAGAATGGCCCACCTGCCCACATATAAACTCACCCAAATACCGGCAGCTCACGGTTCAGCCACGGTGTGAGGAGGCTGCATTCCTTCATGCACAGAAGATTATGGGTGTGCTGTGCTGTGATGGTTTGATAGAGGGTCATGTTGGGAAAGAATTGGCCACTTACTGCACGTGGTACCAAACCCCCTATCCTTGTGCTGTTTGTGGGTGGCTTACATAGTGACAGTCATGATCACCGTCATTATGCCCCCTGTTGTGGTTTTTGGTGTTTGCTGCGGGTCGTGGAGGGGGTGAGGGGCATTACCTAAGGGCACACCAGAGACGGGATGGGAAAGACCACACCACAATACAGTAAAGGTCTAGGATTTACCAGTTAAACATAAGGTGTAACTGGAAAGGCAGCATGATCAGGCATGGTAGGATTACATGGGTCCTGGATTACAAAGGATGCTTCACCCCTTTAAACGTTGCTTCACGCATCAGATTTTCTGCGGCTGATGTCTTCCATTTGTTGGCAAATTTTCCTGTGCACCTTGCGCCACAGCTGGTCCTTCACACTGTGTGCAAATGTCTGACTGTTTCAGCTAATAAACACAGGCTAACAGATCAATAGACACATGGAGGGAGCACGAGAGGGAGAGAGAGCGGGAGAGAGAGAGGGACCAGCAGCAGGAAGGGGGAGAGAATGGGGGAGAGGCAGAACTGGCAGAAGGGGAGGGGTGTTGTCATAGAGAGAGGGCCCGGAAGATTCCGGCACCTTGGTAACAAGCGCGCTGAGCCGCGCTGCGAGAGTGAGGAGACGCAGCGGCTGCATCTGCTGCCACACTGACGGGCTGTGACGGATGCAGACACTGCTGCTGCTGCTGCAGAGAAGAGGAGGGCCAAGCCAGCCTCCCCCTTTTCTCTCCCTCTCTTTCTCTCCCCTTCTCTTGGTTTCCCCGTCTTCTCGATTTGCTCTGCTCACCTCCCCCTTTCATTTTCTGGATGCCCCCCCCACCTCCAGCTCTCCGCTGTGCTTCATCACCGGGTCACACAGCTTTTTTTTTCCCGCTGCCTTCCCCTGCAACGCATCGCCGCTCTCTGTCTTCACGGCGGGGGAGAGGGAGGGGGCAGCGAGTGGGAGAGCGTCTCGGCGGAGGGGCAGGGAGCCAGAGCAGAAGCGCGAAAGAGGGGAGCGCTGAAAGGGTTTTCCTCACCGTTATTTCTTGCTGAGGATGGGGAGTCAGATGTAGAAAAGGCGCCGGGAAGACTGCGAGGTCGGTGCCGCTGCTGGCCAGCCGTCGCTGAGGTAGGAGCTGTACCTGCAACGTACCTGTGAGCTTGGAGGACTGTGACCAGGGGGATGTGCAAATAAGGGGAACAGTCACGCTGATTTTATTGCCGTGCTTTACTGGCTCGCTCACCTCAAAGGTGCTGGTGCCACAGACGCTCAATCCCCCGTGAAGCGGCATTGTCTGCACCTTCTCCGTTTTTGGCAGGATTAGGGGCCATTTTTTGCTCCCCGCTCCCCACCTTTAACCTGTTTGATTTCGGCCGTCGGATTGAGAGGTGTGGAGCGGCGTAGCGCAGCTCCGCTTTTGCGCGGTGTGTGAGCGGGACTCCCTGATCTGGCTGCCGCCGCCCCTTCTGGCATTTTCTCCCTGGCCACACGGATGACCGTTTTCCGGTGAGTCGGCCGGGAAACCTGCTTGTGCGCAGCTACACCTGCCGGCTTCTTCGCCGGCGTCTGGCAGCCCTTGCGGGTGGTGCCGCCATCCATGTGCGACTCCGTGTGCAGCCGCTGCCTTTGTGTTTCTCACTGGCTCTTCATTTTATTCCTTATTGTCTTGCACTGTGGACTACAGCTAAACGTCACACCATGTTTTGCTCGAGAACAAAAAAGGCAGTCTAATGAGGTAAACAAGGGGGACCAAAATAACATCAATTGGAAAGAAAATAAATGTCACATCAGCAACAGAGGTTCTAGAAGAACAGTGCCTGTACCTTGTTAACGGACGGCCCTGGGGACATGTGGCTGATGGATTGAGCCGCGATATTTTCATTTAAAAACAAAGAAGCGAGAAGGCGGGCTGTTGTCATGAGCGGAGAACGTGGCTCGCCGCTGACTTCTTCCGAGATGGAGGAGAGAGAGAGAGAAGCGCAGAATAGTCTGTAGATTTATTGCCGGTTCTAGGCAGATTGCCAGAGTAGAATGAGAAGGGATAGTAGAAGGACATCGCCGTCCAGAAGCAAGTTCCAGAAGGAAGTCAAACAGCAGTCTGCCCTCCTGCTCATCAGAATACCTTTCACCTCTGTATGAGGCTTAGTCCCATCAACTGATTCTGCAGTGGACAGTGAAACTCTGCCTTCGTAACCTGAAGAGGTACCGCTGCCTATCTTTTACACTCTGTCCATTTCATCACCGACTGACCATCGCTTGAACTTATTGATCATTTTCAAGTAACTATAGATACTGCTATCCTATCTGGCTGCAGCCTATAGTCTATGGTCTGTCCACTGCAAACGGACCACATGAGCCAATCCGGCAGTCTGCAGCGGCGCACCACCTACCTCATCTCCCTGACCCTGGTTAAAGTCGAGTCGGTGGGAGATGATGGGGTGCAGCACACGAAGGACTCTGTCCTGGGAGCAGCAGCAGGGAGCCGGGAAGGCGAGGGGTGGGAGGACTGGGAGCTGCTGGCACAGCAGAAGAAACAGGACGATGAAGAGGAAACAGAGTTGGAGGAAGAGGAAGTTACGACTGAGCCAGGGACAGATAGGGCTACACCCCAGAGCCGAGACAGACCGTGCCCCAGGGTAGTTGAAGACAGGTGGTCCATTGTGGATGATGGCCACCCCAAAGCAAAGGAGAGGTCAGTGGTCCGTCCTAAAGGGCTTCCTTCCACCCCTGTGAAGGACACTGAAGAGGTAAGGACCAGACGGACTGCAGAGGATGGAGAGACGGACAGAGAGGAATCCTCAGACAGTAAGACGTCCAGAGTGGCTCCGCAAATGAGGAAATCTGTCGATATGATTGCTCCAAAGCCCTCCCCCAGAAGCAGCGTTCCCATCCGCTCTGGTCAGCGGTCAGGGTCCCTACAAAAACCCCCTGGTGGTACTGTGAGTCAGCGGGAGCTAAGGGATGTGAAGGAAGGCATCTCTAAGTCCGCAAAGAGTCTGGACCGCAAGGAGAAGGCGGAGGCCAGGTCCCCCCTCAGCCCGGTCCTAGTGCCCAGCCGAGGGTCCTGGACCGGGGAAGAGGGGAAGGCCCGAGCTCCACACAGAAGAGCTGATGGGGCTGAGGATGCTGATGCAGCTGCCACAAGGGGGAGCCCCAGGACGGAGAGGCTGAAGACTGGGTCTGCCTCACTCCCAACCCCAGTCACGCCAGTCCCTAAGCCTCCTCGTAAAGGTAAAAGTCGCACTTTGGATAACAGCGACCTGCGCATCCTGTCCGAAGACCTCCGGCGAGGCAAGGAGGGCCAGGCTCTGATGGGCATGGGATCCACCATAGGAACCACCCCAGGATACGGCCAGACACAGAGAGCTTCGGCGCGTGACCGCAAGATGCTAAAGTTCATCAGTGGGATTTTCACCAAGAGCACGCCCGCCTCAGCTGGCCCCATGTACGGCTCTGTGCAGAGGGAATCGAGCGAAGAGGAAGGTAAGAATCTGCCTACCCTCATTGTCTCCATCAGAATCTGCCTCAAAGCTCCAGGACCTGCAGGATCCAGACAGCTGTTGCATTTTCTTCACAAGTGACACCTGCAGTGAGGTCGTGACTCACCTGTGCACCCCTGGAGCCTGTGTGTGTTACACTGAGCAGGGTTACTCAGGCTGATTATCAGGCTGATGCACCACACTCAGAGAAGTCTTAACACCTGCAGAGGATGGAGATTTGGCAGCACCGATTTAACAGCAAACATTGCAGACACTACACCACATGACAGCCAGATCCTGCTGTTCTCACGTAGCTTTCTTGGCTGATATGATTCACGTGAATCAGGACTATAGATGCAGGGCTGAAGTACTGGGTGGTAATTGGGTATTGGGTCCTCACTGAAACTTTCGAGAGCTGTACATGCAGTGCTGGTGTACTGGGTTCTCACTGAGACTGCAGGGAGCTGTACATGCAGTGTTGATGTATTGGGTCCTCACTGAGACTGCAGGGAGCTGTACATGCAGTGTTGATGTATTGGGTCCTCACTGAGACTGCAAGGAGCTGTACATGCAGTGCTGGAGTACTGGGTCCTCACTGAGACTGCAGGGAGCTGTACATGCAGTGTTGAGGTATTGGGTTCTCACTGAGACTGCAGAGAGCTATACATGCAGTGCTAGAGTACTGGGTCCTTACTGAGACTGCAGGGAGCTGTACATGCAGTGCTGAGGTATTGGGTCCTCACTGAGACTGCAGTGAGCTGTACATGCAGTGTTGAGGTATTGGGTTCTCACTGAGACTGCAGGGAGCTGTACATGCAGTGCTGGAGTACTGGGTCCTCACTGAGACTGTACATGTAGGTTGTGTGTTCTTTTCTAGCTGCCTTCTCTGTGGCCCTCAAAGTCAACCCCTTCCATGCTTCTTCTATTTCCGTCTCTTCTGTTCTTCCTTTCAGCTTAGAAAATTTGCAGAAGACCAATGAAAATGGTAGAGAATGCAGCCGGTGCCTTAAACCTGTCTTTGATG